GTGCTAGCCGTCCCCAATTTTGAGCTGATAGACTAGAGATAAGGCAGATAGTCTATATCATCCACCACCAATAATAGGATTTAACTCTCACTCTTATAACGTACACATGGCCTAAAAATGAAAAAAGTCAAATGACGTTCCCTTATACAGGAACTGGTTGAATAAGACAAAATCTTAGTAGGGTGAAGGCCAAAAACTTAAGTAGTTTTAGGTAAGCAATAAGTTTTAATAATTGTTTTTCTGTATCTATTAACTCATAACTAATCTGGATACTATCTTTAATATTGTAAACTATCTGGAGTACCCGTCCCATAGACGGAAGTTATGTAAATTCATGATTAATCTAAGGACATGAAAATTTGCTTCCCTTATATACAATTGTAAAAACGCAAAACTTAAAAATTGTATGTAACCCCGCTTGGGCCTAATGAACCACCATACCAATTTGATCCATCCATATCCTGCGAAGTAGTTACATGGACATATAACAAACAGTATTATTATATTTATACAGATCCACAACAATATAATTTCCATTCATATCAGACCGTCTTATTGTTAAAGACACACAAATGGCATTAATCCAACTATAATAGGTTTGGTATAGGTTTTCACTTGTTTCCACGTTCAAGAACAACTAAACAGTTAATAGACAAACACTGAAGGTAACCGAGCTACCATTGAAAAATAAACTATTAGATAAACTTGTAATTTCGTTACATGTTTTGGAAACTTAATTCGAACTTGACACAGAAACGAAAGATCACTAAAAAACAATAAAACAACTCGAAAGTTTGTAGGCTTCATAAACACAGAATTCTGTATCTCTAAAAGCTCGATTTCAGAAAAGTTTTTACAACTTATTACATAAACACGTAATTCATCGTTTTTCTCTATTAGTCCAGATGTGCTATGACATGAGTTTTAAATTAAATTTAAATAACTGAAACCAGAAAGCTTCACAAACTTATACAAATCCCATATGGTCCATAACTTTGATAAATACCCAGCCAAATCAAATTATCTTAATTCTACTGAAGCTTGGCACAGTTCTATGAAGTAAACATCACTAACTACATCATTGCGAAAGATGTAATTGAAAGGTATGACGAACATTTGATTTCAATTAAACGTAATCAAAGCTGGAAATTCCAAAAATGACACAATCATTTATTTAAAACGTATTATACATTGAATTAGAGGTAAAATTTAATAGCAGAAATGCATTACCTGTTGCATTTACAAATATGTTTTTGTGTACGCTTTGGAAATTCACCTACGTCATTCTTTGTTACAGTAGATCAGATTTTCTCAGTACTGTACTGATGCGAAGCAATGACACTAATTTCTTTTAGTTAACAAAATTATCGCTATTTTCTTTAACCAAATTAGAAATTTTAAATCTTTAATTTAATAAGTACAGTTTTTAGAAACGCTAATCAATCTCGGGAAATACGAACAAAGAAAATGATGACATCTAGTAGTTATATTTGGATATGAGGGATGAAAAATGTTTCTGGTTTCCTTGTTATTATTTTCCTTTTCACTTAATTACTAAATACATACTTGAAAAAAAAACATTAGGTAATTGGGAGGTCTCTTATAAACTCATAAAACCATAAGAATAACGTGATTTCTGACACTGGGTGTTTTTTTTTTTTCAAATTTGATTATTTAGTAAATGGAAGATTCCGATTAAGTAGAAAATAAATACAATCAAACAATATCTTATTTTGATCTTAACCTCACTGAAACATCCTGCGAGTAAATTTTCAAAATTAGTTTGATGTAAAAAAAAATTATACTTCATACGATAAATGGTTTTACTTCACCAATATTTTGCTTATGACATGTTGCACTTTTACTGTTAGTGACACCTGTTTTCTTAATCCATTTTCTGTCTCGTGTTGCAAATTAGGTTATCAAAGAAGTTAATAATTATTATACTATCTTTTGCCAGTGTTAGTTCTACAACAGTGAGCCCCCCCCCAGTGGCACAGTGGTATTTCTGCGGACTTACAACGCTAGAAACCGGGTTTCGATACTCGTTGTGGGCAGAGCACAGATAGCCGATTGTGTAGCTTTGTGCATAACTATAAACAAACAAACAATACAACAATGAATATTTTTTTTATCTCATTGTCCAATTTTATTTCCCTGATGCCGCTGCTCCTCACATTTACCATACACTAGTCTATTGGATATATTTTGTTTTTCTACATAAATTATGCTTTCAACATTTTCTCTCTCGCTCTCAATCACACATGCATTAGAGATTCAAAGTTATAGAAACACTTGAAATATGAATATAGCAGGATACAAGAAAAACAAGTAACAGCTGTAACAATCACTACTAGAAGCAGAGCCAGCCGTTGGGGCGGTCGACGTGTGCCTAGGTACAGGGCGCCCACCTTAAGGAGCGCCAAAATTGACACTGCAATTAGCAGTTCTTGTCAATTTTACAGGGGCAGGGGCGCCGAATATAAAGTTTGTACAGGCCACAATTGTACCTAGGGTGGGTACTGACTACAAGACGCCCTTTCAC